ACCACAATTGTTTAGCACAAGTCTGGTCAAAGGATCGGCTTCACTTGTCTCTTTGACGAGTTGTTGTATGATGCTAAGAATTTCGATACTCACAGACGATGCCGGCGAAACGTTTGGGAATGTACCACGTCCACGGTTCAACTTTGGGAATGATCATGCAGACAATGGACTCCGGACTAGGTGCGTTCCTATAATTCTTCCTACCAATATGACCATGTTGCGAAAAAAAGGTGAAACAACCTCTAAACAACCTCTAAATTAAATAAAGTTAATTAAATCTTGATGATCGACTCAATCTGTAAAAGTTAGTCACGAACCCTTACGCACACATTAACGCAAATATATACCGAAGCAGCAAAGCCCACTTACCCACACGTTTCGGATAGAAATAACGAAAACTGAGCAAATCCCTGTGCAACCCACAAAATTGCATTTCGTTGGATGGAGAGTACCAACGGTAGGCATAAGGTAGAGAGCTTACTGGACTCGTCAACTCGAAGCGGTTTTAAAAAATAACGCACGGCTGTGTTGATGTCTGGGAAGTGAACTGGTAGAAGAAGGCATAGCATGTCTCCAATGGAAGCGTAAGGTATCCTCTCGAGGACAGCTTTAATTGGAAGATTCCAATAGAGCCAAACTAAACCAGGTCATATGGACTATGCCGTCGTCTTTTGGTGAGATCGGACTATGAAACTCTCAATCAGGCATATGCACTTCAAAGCTTTGCTTCAAAGCGAGAAAGGATGTTGTAGCCCCACAATCCTGCACCAAAGTAGCTCCAAGTGTGGCAGACTTGGACTATTTTACCTCTCTTTGAAGGACTTTTAGTAAAGCTTTACTCGCAAAGCCTCCTGAAGCCGCCAATCAGGATGCAGCCCCGAAGGGATTCGAACCCGGGGCGTGCGCAACGGGACGGCACTTTACTCTTCTGCTGCACAGACACAACTGCCAGGCAGTCACAGGGCAGATGTGATGTTGAAGGCAAGCCACGCCTCTCCTGACTCACACATTCATAGTGGGATTGTCGATGAGGCAAAAATGTT